ATATATATATATATATATATACTATCACATATATATCTACTAACACACACACACATATATATATGTAGTAACACACATACAAACACACACATATATATATATATACTATCACATATATATACTAACACATACACATATATATATGTACTAACACATACACACATACATATATGCATATATATATATATATATATATATAAAATATATATATATATATATATATATATTACGTAATATAATTTGATGGTCCCAACAAAGTTTACCTTCTTCACACAAACAGAGAAGACGAACGTATCACATCCATATGTTATATTATGCCCAACTTCCAAGGCAGAATCACTTGTCTTTCCTTGAAAATTGATATTCATAATCTCGGGTGTTACCGCAATTTTACAAACGCACTGACAGCCTGGAAAAAGGCAAATCTCTACTAATTATCCAAGGGAAGAAGTTCTTTCCTTGACGGACAGAATTCAGCATGCCATCCAGTTTTCTTGCCTCGAACACCTGCCAAAGTCTACTATATAGGCAACCGCTCCAGAAAGTACCTGACTCCTACTTACCTGCTTTATCTTTAAAAGAGTCAGATAATACCGACAATACAGTATTTCTAAAATACCTGGCATACAGTTGTCAAGTCCTTACTGCTAAGCCTTCTCAGTGTTCAAGCGTGTCTATTTCGATGGTAAATTTTTAAATGAGCTACATTCCCCGGGCCACCAGTTTGCAGCTGACACCCGTCATGACACGTTTTTGTTTTATTTTTTTTTTAATAAACATTATTAATTACTTGTCTATATTTCTGAGATGAGTAATTTTGTGCATTATTTACATTATTCGGACTATTATCCTCATCTTTGTCGCCTTATTTATCACAACGTTTCGGCCTTTCAATATCTGTCTATATTTCTGAGATGAGGTATTATGTACACTATTTACATTATTTGGACTATTGTCCTCATCTTTGTCGCCATGTTTATTACAACATTTCGGCCGTTGTACGCTCCGGCCTTCTTCAGGTGGTTGGAATGTCGAACTGAACCCTTTATTTCGCTCACTGGGGTACACTGTTCTAGTTCCTCGTGTCATGTTTAACGGATGTCAGTTATCAGTTATCTCCTGTTGATTTCCCTCTGAAAGTTCTCCACTGCCTTGACTGGGTATTGAACTCACACTCTTTGGGTCTTGTTACTGGATCTAACCAACGCCTTTGTGCACTGTGCTATGTGTCCTCAAGAAGGCCGAAGCGTACAACGGCCGAAACGTTGTAATAAATATGGCGACAAAGATGAGGACAATAGTCCGAATAATGTAAATAGTGTACATAATACCTCATCTCAGATATATAGACAGATACTGAAGGGCCGAAACGTTGTAATAAATATGGCGACAAAGATGAGGACAATAGTCCGTATAATTTAAATAATGTATTATTAATTACATTTATCGGCCTAAATTTTTAAATGAGCTACATTCCCCGGGTCACCAGTTTGCAGTTGACACTCGTCATGACACGTTCACAGAGCCGAAACATCCTCATTCCCTCCGTATTCCTTTGGAAAAAAGAACGTTCCACTCAGATAGTTTCTTCCCCAGAACTGTCACTTTGTGGAACAAACTTTCGAGGGGCTGCTTCTCGATCCTTTCAAGACTAGTATCAATCGTTATCTATCCTATTTATCCTTATAATATGCACTTGCTAATTCCTCCTTTTACGCTCTTACAGCAAACTCCTTCAGTGACTGTCTACATTGAGTGACTCTTGGGCCTTGTATTCGATGAACAATAGTATAAAAGATAGTTCGTTTTTATTTAAGTTCACGTGTAAGTTTAACTTTTTCTTGTGTCGTATTCCTTCACGGACTTTGTATTCCTTTCCGTCTTTTGTAGCCCTTAGTAAAATTTTATTTTTTTACCATCTCCCGTAATCCTTAGGTACGTTATGCGTTGTTTTCCGCTGTCCCACTTGCCTTCAATATGTCCTGCGAGTGTCAAAATTTCCAAGCCTTCTTTCCTCATTATGCGGCCTGGAAATTTCAACTGCCTCTTTCTGAAGGACGAAACGCAGACGATAACTTTTACCATTTGTCATAGATTTCCCTAAAATTATTCTTGATGTACATAAAAATGTATATATTTTTCCCATGGATATATGTAAGGTTTCGGTGTAACGGCATTCTTGGAAATAGCCGTGTTGAGATTATGGAACAAGTTTTTGTCGACAGTTAACCTAGCAAATAGTTACTAGAATGTAGTGAATTCCATCCTCAGTGGGTGCTTCAAAAATGTGGCCTTGAGCGAGATTATGCTTAGCTGAGTAAATGCCTATAACTCTGCAGCAAGATGTGGCACAAGGCCGAGTATAAAGTGGGGTAACTGAGCCCGTAGGCTCGAGCAAAAATTCCCTATAGACCACGTAAAAACGGAGTCATTTTCTCGAGACGAGACTCCGCCCCGCGGCAGACCCTCATCTGGGGGATACCCTCTGACATAAGCCAGGTAAGTATATGCGTACACATCTTTCTACACATCTCTCCTGTCCATTACCATCCTTCTCCTCCTCCTACTCCTCCTCGGTCCTATGTCCAGGTATGGTCACAGGGTCACTGCGAATATGAACACCTGACCAGTTCCCTTCACAAATCTGTGTTGAAAGCCGATGTATTCATTCATGCATAGCGTTTCTTGGGCATGTAGTCCTGGCGGACACCATCCCTGTCTAGGTCACATGTCCTGTAGCTTGGCTCGCCTTGTTGACGGATCAGGTGATACCATCGAAAGGTATATGAAGGATGGTGGAGCAGTGTTTGGGAGAGATGGTAAGAATATGAAAGTTTTTAAAAGCTATAAACGAAAGGAAATTGTGGAGAGACATGATTATCAACGAATTGAAGGGTCACGACACATAGTGGAAAAGAACTCGCTAGAATAGTTACTAGCATGTAGTGAATTCCATCCCTAGTGGTTGCTTCAAACATGTGGTCTTGAGCCAGATTATGCTTAGCTAAGTAAATGCCTATAACTCTTTTGTGAGATAGGAATATATATATATATATATACACAAATTTCTACCCACCTCTGCTGTCCGTTATGATCCTACTCTTCCTCCACAGTCCCATGGCCGGGTATGGTCATAGGGCTACTGCGAATATGAACACCTGATTATGAAAGATTTTAAAAGCTACAAACGAAAGGAAATTGTGGAGAGCCATAATTATTAACACCCTGAAGAGACACGACACATAATGGAAAAGAACTTTCACTATAATAAGTGTTGAAGCTTGGATAAGTATGGAATAATAATAATACAACACAAAATGTACGTAAACAAAATGTATTGAAACAAGGAAAAGGTACACAATATTTACAGTTAGTTTTGGTATATTCTTGGGAAGACTGTTCCTGTAGAATGGGTTGACTTAATCGCAGTCGGGCAGAGTCTCTGGATTGGATCTCTTCTTACTTCCCCCGTCTTCCCGGTACCAACCCATATTTATATGGTCAGTACTCCACTATGTAAATTAGGTGGATCGTACCACAACAATAAGTGAGAAGTTTCTCGACATTTCTCTCTGTATATATCTATTTCAAACTCACTCATAAATTAATTTTAAAAATCTGCTAGTAGGAAGGCGAAGGATGTGTGGGAGCCGTAACATTTATCATTGTCGGAAATGGTATCGATAGTGAATATTCCGATCGAGATATTTAAGTTCCAATCGATCCAATGCTCTTTAAATTAATTTACGTTGAAGATTTACTCATGTAGCCTATTCACATTTTAACTGTGCAGGCTTGCTCTATATCATAGTACAGTTGACAAGGCATGCAATTTCAACAAGACGGTAAATAGAAACACATAATTTTTGCTATTATTCTATCACAACTATTTCCGGGTATACCGTTAAAACGTCATGTTGCATATACTAGTATCGTCATATAGCTTTACGTGAATAGATTCATATAGTTTTCAAAATAGAAACTTAAAGCTACAAATCGTATTATTACAATTTTCTATAGGCGCACACAGTTCACCCTCTGCAATACATATAAACCATACAAAATAACAATGATGAAAAGATAAATTAAATAATTAATAAAAAATAATTTGATTTGTTTCAACTTTGACCATTTTGTTTTCCTTCAAAAATAAAATCCACATCCAAAATGGTCGTATCGCCGTTGCACGCTTTAGATAGGATTTGTTGATGCAAAATTCAGTTACTATCTTCATTACTTTCAGACATTTATCGATATTTACAGAGCGCTATGTTATACTGCTTCATCAACCATTTGCGATAACATACCAATATTCATTATGTTTTAATTTATCTCATATAAGGTCAAACGTTGAAAGCGCATTGTCAAAGCAGAATATTCTTACTAACCAATGCTTTAGCCCAGATGCCACTTGAAATATTGTTTTATTTTAGTCATAGGAGGCACTCCAGACAGACTTATAATTAACTTGCTTAACCTCAAATAAAATCGCTTTCCTCTGGCAGTAAACATGGTGGATCTTTTTGGAACTGCCTTGTGATTACATTCAAAGTTACAAGCAGCGAATCGTATAAAATGGCATCAAACACTTCAATGAAATAAGACGGAACCCAAAGCTATTTTTTCCTCACTCTAAAAATATTTAACTGAAAAAAACATGTTAAAGTTGAAGAAGAAATGTCGAAAATGAATTTTAAAAAACTATAATAAAATAGACACGAACGCAAGAAAAAGAATTAAGATTTCCTTTAAGGAAGATCTGGAATTGATCAACTGGCACTGTCGGATTCTTCGAGAAATATTGCTTTTTTCTGCTTTTAAGTTACTAGCCATTGAGACATTTCTTTTTTTAGTTCCTGTCGAGAAAGAAGCTTTACCGGTGCCTATTACATTTCCCTGATACAACTGCAAGCGCGTATTAACTTTTGTTTGGAATGTTTAGTATCTGGAGTTGGGGAGAGTGTTTATAAGGAGAGAGCAAATAATGGTGAGGTATTGACATCGACAGTGTTAAAGTGATTTTGCCTCGCAGAATGGGGAACATCAATTGGCAGAAATGAAGAATAGAACGAGTAAAAATGAAAAGAAAGAATTGCATGAAAAGAAAGGAAAAGAAATTAATTAAAAAATCATGAAAGAAACGAAAAAAATAAGAAACAACTAAAAATTGAACAAACGTGAAAAAAATCAAACAAAATTTTTAAAAATGAAAGGAAAAACAAAAATTACACTCAAAATCAAAGAAAGAATAAAAAAAGAAAGAAAGAAAAAAAGTAAGTCAGAGAGAAAAAAGAAAGGAAGAAAAAGTAGGAAAGAAAAATGAAAGAACAGCCTTTAATTATAATTAATAGAAAAGAAAGAAACAAGGAAAGAAAGAAAGAAAAAACGTAAGAAAGAAAAATGTAAGAAAGAACAGTCCCCAGTTATGGATGATTGAAAAGAAAAAAAGAAAGAAAGAAGAAAAAAACAATAAAGAAAAAGAAAGAAAGAAAAATAAAAGAAAGAACAATCTCCAATTATAATTGATAGAAAGAAAGAAAGAAACGGAATAAAGAGAAAGAAAGAAAGAAAGAAAGAAAGAAAGAAAAAGAAAGAACAATCTCCAATTATAATTAATAGATAGATAGATAGATAGATAGATAGATAGATAGATAGAAAAAAACGAAATTAAGAAGAAGAAAGAAAGAAAGAAAGAAAGAAAGAAAGAAAGAAAGTAAAACAGCCTGGATGAAAAAAACAATAAATGAAATGAATGAAAAATTAAAAATACATACAATAATTAAGAGTAAAGGAAGGAATCGACGCAGAGAGGGAGGAAGGTAAGGAGGGAGAAAGGAAGGAGTGAGTGAGTGAGTGAGTGAGTGAGTGAGAGAGAGAGAAGGAAAAATTATTCAAAGACTAATGGATGAAACGAAAAATAAGAAGCTAAAATAGGTAAAACTAGAAAAGAAAAGAGAATATAGAAAAAGAAATAAAAGAAATCAAAAACGTTACAAGAAAATCCACAAAAAAAAGCGAATTACGATTTTTTAAAACGATAAATACAAGAGAAAGCATTCACTTAAAGAAAGAAAGTGAACAAAGGGAGAAAAAAGAAAGGTAGAAGAAAGAAAGAAAGAAAGAAAGGTATAAAAAAGGAAAGGGAGAAGAAAGAAAGGGAGAAGAAAGAAGGAAAGGGAGACGAAAGAAAGGGAGAAGAAAGAAAGAAAGAAAGGGAGAAGAAAGAAGGAAAGGGAGATGAAAGAAGGAAACGGAGAAGAAGGAAAGGGAGACGAAAGAAAGGGAGAAGAAAGAAAGAAAGAAAGGGAGAAGAAAGAAGGAAAGAGAGATGAAAGAAGGAAACGGAGAAGAAGGAAAGGGAGAAGAAAGAAGGAAGGGGAGAAGAAAGAAAGAAAGAAAGAAAGAAAGAAAGAAAGAAAGAAAGGAGATGAAAGAAGGTAAGGGAGAAGAAAGAAAGGAGAAAGAAAGAAGGAAAGGGAGAAGAAAGAAAGGGAGAATAAAGAAAGAAAGAAAGAAAGGGAGAAGAAAGAAGGAAAGGGAGAAGAAAGAAAGAGAGAAGAAAGAAAGAAAGGTAAAAAAAGAACGGGAGAAGAAAGAAGGAAAAGGAGAAGAAAGAAAGGGAGAAGAAAGAAGAAAAAGGAGAAGAGAGAAAGGGAGAAGAAAGAAGGAAAGGTAGAAAAAAAAGGAAAGGGAAAAGAAAGAAAAGGAGAAGAAATAAGGAAAGGTAGAAGAAAGGGAGAAGAAAGAAGGAAAAGTAGAAGAAAGAAAGGAAGAAGAAAGAAGGAAAGGTAGAAAAAAGAAGGTAAGGGAGAAGAAAGAAAAGGAAAAGAAAGAAGGAAAGGGCGAAGAAAGAAAGGGAGAAGAAAGAAGGAAAGGGTGAAGAAAGAAAGGGAGAAGAAAGAAGGAAAGGGTGAAGAAAGAAAGGGAGAAGAAAGAAGGAAAGGGAGAAGTCAGAAAGAATGAAATAAACAGTAAAAAATGTGTGAGCGAATCAAATAATGAAGCAACGAAAAAATGAAATAGTGACAAATAAATTGAAAAGCAACAATTAAAATAAAAGATGACTAATACGTATATATAAGTAAAAAGGAATAACTAAAACTACTAATAGAAACTAGAACAAAATAATCAAACGGAAAATATACCAATCAATAAGGCGGACAAATTACAAGCCCCCTCCAATTTTTTAAAGCCAATAGTTTCAGTAATAATAAAAGAAAGTAAACGATCAAACAAAGAAGAAATAATGAATGAGGAAAAAAAACAAAGATGCACGGAAGAAAGAAACAAATAAAAAACCATCTTGATATTCCAATCGACTACAAAATATCACATTTAAAAAAATATTAGATCAGTGGCCATAAATATTTGGGGTCACTGAAAAGTATTTGACCCCCGACCCACTTCCTAAATTCTGACCAAATAAGCAAATATCAATTTTTTCTGGAACCTTTCAGAAGCCACTTTCAGATCAATCTCAGATTGCTAGACATCAACATGATTAAAGAGTGACTGAGACAATGATACGCACACGTATACAAAAATACACACATGCACATACGCATATGCATAATAATGGAATGACTGCCAGTTGGTTTATCGAGAAAAAAACGTCTGAAAAGTTTTCAACTTGTCTTCTTCTGATTGTAACTATACCTTTCCTTGAAATTCTTATTTCCTAAAAATTTATTCGTATATCTTGTTCTATTCGTTGTATTCTCAATAATATTCAAATGATGTTTTCGTCCGTGAAGAGATTGTCTAGCATTCACTCCCACTGCATAAGAAATTATATATATATATATATATATATATATATATATATATTTATAGCATTTTTTTTACTCGTTTCTTTGTTTTAACGCAATTTTTGTCTATGTCTTAATATTTTGCTTAGTTTCTGCAAGTCATCTTTTCATATTATTATGCGGCTTCAGATTAATGTGTTATATTTCCTGTCATCTGGTACAATAATAACCAGATATTTAAACTTATTTGCCTTTTGATATTGATGTTGTCAATACGTAGCTCTCGCGTTGTACCGTCTGTTTGCAAACAGGATCGTGGTAATAGTAAATATTTGCCATTTCCTTATAAGGAAGCATTCAGGATTCATTAGCCGAGCAGCCAGTATGACTGAAATCATTCATCATCATCATCATCATCATCATCATCATCACCAAATCGAGATTCTCCTGTCAAGTTCCTTGCAACCATCGCTGTCAGTTTACCGCCGTCGGCAGGTCCTCTAGATGGCATCCAGAGTCATCTACAAGTTAGTCAGTGTAGGTGTGATGAGGTCTTCCAACCGATCTTTAGCCACGCAATGGGTTCCATAAGAGGGTGTCACTCACAATTTCTGACTTATTTCTCCAGGAGGGATCAGCTAGCCGAAGCCTTCTGTCTCTTAGCGTAACAGTTAGGAGGAAGGTGTCCATGCAGGCGTTTCTTTGTTGAATGTTTCTTCCAGCTGATATCCAGTGCAACTCGTAACATCCTTGTGTATGTTCCGCCAAGTGATGCTTCTTGGTGTTTCGTCAGTGCCTATGTTGCTGAGCCGTAGAACAAGACAGATTCTACCCTGGACTTAATGAACTCCCTCTTAAGATTGTCAGAGAAGGGGAGGACTTCCAGATGGTTCTCAGACCATCAAGGACACCACAGGCGTTGCCTTTGCGAATTTTGATGTCTCTCTCCGTTGACCTGATGTTGCTGCCGAGGTAAACAAATTCCTGGACGGATTTGATATTGATGGCGTTTTTCAGCTTAATTTCTTCTTGGTTGTAGCTGATAAATTCTGATAAAATCATTCATATATAAAATGATATAATTAAATATCGGCCCGATTTGTTTTTATTAAGTCTTTCGTCATTTTTTAGTGTTACCACGGGCTTAAATGTTCCAGGCAACTTTCGTACATTTCTATCATGAATACAGGGTGTCCCTCAAAAAATGTACTCGTTTTTATTTTTTACTTTCGTTTACTAATTAAAACTTCTTTATTTATTTATTTTCAGATCCATGTATTTTTAATTTCATTTAATAAAACGTTAATTATTTTTGTAAGTTAATCATATTAATTAATTTTATTTTAACTGTTATTAATCATGCTTGCAAGTCAGTAAAAACACAGAATTTATTATTGCCAATATATATATATATATATATATATATATATATATATATATATATATATATATATAAAAAACCTGTAGGGTGTAACTTGTATATAACTTTTTATTTTTATTTCCAGAAAAAGAAAATATTCATAACCGAACCTAATTCTTTTTCACAGGCATTGTTTTTTCCTCCGACAGGAATCGAACCTGTATTCTATATGGAACCGTCATATAGCCAGACGTGCTTTAACCGAATGAGCCACACAGAAGCCCCTCGGCTGGCAAGGTAGATTATACTGTTTTTAAAGTACAATTTTCCATGATTTTCTCAGGTACATTCATATCTGCTCGATGCGTTTCCAAATGTAAACAAAAGACGTCACACATTATGAAATGTATAGGATACAGGTTCGAGGATGCATATTTTCTATGACAATTTCTCGGACCTTCAGGCCGGTAAATATTGTTAATACTGTTTTTTATAAACAGAGCATTTACTTAAATATTTGTATGTATAAAAAAGAATGTATAAACATATATATATATATAGACATGTATACATTGATGCATATATGTACATGTAGAGATACATATATATATATATACATACATATATATATATGCATACATATATATATACATACATATTTGTACATATATATATATATATATATATATATATATATATATAGATAGATAGATAGATAGATAGATAGATAGATAGATAGATAGATAGATAGATATACTTAAGGTAAAAACAAATTTTGCCATAACTATAAAAATAAGTTCTCTAATTTCATCTAAGAAATCAGGCTGCGTAATTTAGTCTTTCATAAAGTTTAATTCATAGCACTGATGAAAGGTTTTCTCTGAACCATGGTCTGAATTAAAAATCCAAACTCTTTTGATATGTCCTGAAATCTTTAATGCTTCAAAGGTTTCGGAAACTTTCAGGAAAATAGTTTTCTCAATTTCAGTCGCTATTATCGCCCTTTCCAGAACTGATGTGTTGTTTCCTTCCTAACATTTTATTTGAAGTAGTGAGGAGTGTCAACATGTTGATTGTGTCGTTAATTTTCTATTCGAATTACAAGTGATATCTAGTTTAGTTGCCGCTGCTGTTGAATGTCCTCAGGTGATGTGGTTTCCGTTATCTGGTACTGTGATTCTATTAGCGCCAGTCTACAAAGTTCAAAAAAAAAATGCTCTTTGCCAAGAGACACAGTTCCTCACTGGTTCGAAGCATTTTGATCTGAGAAAGCGATAGACCTTTCTTCTAAATACATGGTTACCGTTCTCTTCTATTGGTTGCACTATCAATGTTAAACAGCCTAGTCCGCTCTACTATTTTACTCAATGGGTAAAAAGTTGAAAGCGATTCGTGCATTAGCCAAAAGCATTGGCTCGATGAGAACGCAACTGTCTTGATCCGAATTTTCACTATCGACACCATTTTCCACACTGATAAATGTTACGACACGATTAGAGGAGACAGTATAAAAACAAACTTTAATGATATCTGCAAAGGAAAGGAAATTGTGGAGAGCTATGATTTGTAAATGTTGAAATTTCTAGGGACTATAATGAGCAAAAGAGCTATGATTTCTCACTTCCTGAATGGGCAGGGAATATAGAAGATGTCTCTGATACTTTTTTTTTATAGAAAAAAGACTCTAAGAGTCATATTTACGTCCCTACCCTGATCACCGCCAAAAAAATAACAAAAGTGAGGAAAGTCACTGAACTTGATATTAGTAAATCCACAACATGGAAGAATAAATTTGTCATTCTGTATTAAAATAATTGCGAAGAAGCTAATTGAGCGTAATAGTTAGTGACATGAAGAATATTCGAAGACTGTATATAGCGGTGTTGGAACACAGCTTACCATTGGTTAAGTTCTGAGGCTACGTCTAAAAATATAGATACGCGATCACGTATTAAATTGTGATTCTAACACGTCTCAATATAGGAACCGAACGTATCCCTCGTCTTAGAACTTCAATGGAACGTTATCGACAGAGTTTGATTCATAAATATAGACTGGTAATCTCAGAAGCAATGGAGTGAGTGAAAATGTCGATATCTGCTTCACTGACTAGACGGACTGTCTCGCGTATAAATTGATTTTGCCAATAGCGATTTACTCAGTAAATTGCAATTGCTCGCGCCTTCCAGATCGCCCTGAAAAGAGCTTTAAACTTGTGTTTTGTTTCTTTTGCTAAGTCAATCACTTGTCCGCTCCAAGGCAGTTACGTATCATTAATCGCGTTAACTATATTTCAGCTAAAAAACAAGAAAAGTATGTTTTCGTTATCGTAAAAACCGACATGTTACAAATAGTAAAACCTATTTTAACAAAAAAAAAAACAAAAAAAAAACATCAAAGATAATAATAGACTTCTGAGAAAAAATGCGATGCTAATGTATGGTAATATCTTTTCAAAACAATCACCCCAAGGAAGGTGATAATGCCACTAAGACGCAAGGGTCTACTGGAAGTAAAGTAGTATAAAAAAAACTTTACTCGGAACCGGAAAACCAATCCTGAAAGAAAACAGAATTTAAATTCTATCCTGTTTAAAAGACCGGACGATAGGCGAACCTACCTACTCCTATTGGGAACAAAAAATAAACAGTTTAGGTGGAGATTTTAGAAGTATCTAATATGATAATGATAGTGCTGAGACCAGCCGTTTCTATACCGGAAACATTCAGCATTCATTGATTAAAAAGATAGCGTTACCATTGGTTGAAATTTATAAAATCTTACTCTGAAAAAAATAATTCAAGAAACTGGGAAGGAAGCTATTGATGTCACCATTTTAATCATTTTCTGTGTGCTTCTATTATCAAATGGCTTTCATCAAATATATCTTAACATAAAATATCCAGTGAATTTTAGACTCTGTCTGTCACTAGAGTTGTCTCCCTTGCAATGATGATTTGCCTAAACACTTAAAATCCCATATATAGTAAGAATAATCGTTTCGATACAGGGGACATGAGACGTTCATTGACCGAACAGTTATCAACCTTCTTCCATTTTATTTAAAGCCAGAAAATATTTTTAGATTATAAGAATTTTTAGAGATAATAATTATTTACTGTCACAAATGCTATTAATTAACTACAGCTGGAGGAGAAATGAAGGGGAATTCATACATTTCCCAAGAGTAATTGCGCATAGGTAAATAATAATTGTGAAAAATAACCATTTCCACCCGGGAAACATTCACAAATCATTGATTAAAAGTCAGCGTTACCATCGGTTGAAATTTATAAAACCTTTCTTTGAAAATAATCTTTCTAGAAACTGGGAAGGAAGCTATTGATGTCACCATTTGAATCACTTTGTGTGTTACTATTATCAAATGGCTTTCATTAGATATATTTTTACATAAAATACTCAGTGAATTTTAGACTCTGTCTGTCACTAAAGTTGTCTCCCTTGCTATGATGATTTTTTTAAACACTTAAAAACTCATATATAGTAAGAGCCGTTTCCATACAGGAAACATTAGACGTTTATTGACCGAACATTTATCAACCTTCTGCAGATTATTTAAAGCCAGAAAATATTTTTAGATTTTTAAGAATTTTTGAAGATAATAATTATTTACTGACACAACAGTTATTAATTATAGCTGGTAGAGAGATGAGGTGGGTTCATACCTTTCCCAAGAGTATTTGCGTGTAGGTAAGGAGTAAGGATGAAACCATTTCCCTGTCCGCTCGGTTGCAGTGGCCGGCAAACTGTAATCGTTTTTTGTTTGACCTTAGATTGTTAATTAAGAATTGTTAATCGGAGAGGCGAGAAGCAATTTCAGTTGGGTTCGTTATATTCACTTACTCTCACATACCCCTTTGGGAAACGTATGAATGCACATCTTCTCCCAAACGCTATGGGTTAATTTTTAAGACTTGTATCTCTAAACCATTATTATCTCAAAAATGTTGACTTTCCCAGACACCAGGACTCGGGACTCAGGGTCGGACACTGGGGATCTGTGGACGGCAATGCAGGGCAGAGCAGTGTGGAAAGGGGTTGTTAATAGAGCTCCGACCAGGGAGGAAGAAGGATGATGATGATGATGATGATGATGATCTCAAAAAAATTCTTAAAGTCTAAAAATGCTGTCTGGCTTTAAATAACCTGTAAAGATTTTTTTATATATATATAATAACCGTAACAGGAGGAGCGCGGTGGTGTAATGAATAGCGGCTCAGATTGAGGAGGCAAATAGCAGAACAAACTGGATGATAACTGGTCTGCTGCAGAAAGAATGTAATGCGGGAAAAAATCTACCTTGTCAGTCATGTATCGAAAGATACATGATCGCTTAAGCGTGTATCACGCATGACATATGACTGACTGGATTAAACGAATCAAACAAACAATAACCTCAGTGTGTTGTTTTAAAATGGTGAATGAAATAAGAGGCTATGGTGGTTCCGTGTATCAGGAATGATCCATAATGCTTCAATTCAAACACATCACAATTTTCTTTTCTTTTTCATAGTCTTCCGAAGCACCTGTGTGTTGTTTGGAATTGCTAAATGAAATAAGAGGCTATGGTGGTTCCATGTATCAGGAATGATCCATAATGCTTCAATTCAAACATATCACAATTCTCTTTTCTTTTTCATAGTCTTCTGAAATCACCTGTCTGTTGTTTGGAATTGCTAAATGAAATAAGAGGCTATGGTGGTTCCATGTATCAGGAATGATCCATAATGCTTCAGTTCAAACACATCACAATTTTCTTTTCTTTTTCATAGTCTTCCGAAATCACCTGTGTGTGGTTTGGAATTGCTAAATGAAATAAGTGGTTACATGTATCCGAAGTGATCCGTACGGCTTCAGTGCAGATGAAGGGATGAATCCGTAACTAGAAGAGTAATGCTGAATGCAAATTTAATCCAATTTGATAATTGCAATAAAAACGCATAGAGTAAAACCAAACAATAGGAATATTAAATAAAGAGTTTATAATTACCATAAAGAGGTTAACCGAAAACAAAAACTGAGAAAGAATTTCTTTGGATCTACAAGTCTCGCAGGCTTCATATATTATCGAATGCAGCTTATCCAAGATGATGCCAGAACCAACTTTACAATATATATCCTTAAGAAAAGCCAGGTGCAATATTAGCCGGAGGGATGACCTCTTAACTGGTGGGTAGAGATATCCAGTTAACACGATATAAGAATCAAGCCTGGCATATGAACAGGCGATCGTCTGGAAAGCCCAAAAGATATAATTATATGAACACACGCATGAAAGTGGAGCTGTTCACTCTCATACGGGAGTGCAGTGTCCAAATGTTCAGTATCCCTGAGGCCAACAATAATAGTACTATACTAAGTTCTTCCAGCCCTCCCTCTTTAAGTAGTCTATTGGCCTGAAAGTTATCAGCCTTTGATGATTTTATAATTAATACATACATATAATATCTAGTCTTTGCTTTGCGTGTGTGTGTTTTATATTTTATTCACTGTGCACATTTTTTGAGCCATTAAAGCAATAGACGCATGAAAACTGGTTAAGTTTTATTTTGTTTGATAGTTTGTTCTCTTTTTTTTCCTTTTTCGATTTATTTCCTTACTGTTGCTATATATTTTTTATGTTTTCTTCCTTTTATATTTTAGTTTAATATGTCCATTTTTATTGCATTTATTAACAATACAAAGAAGTGTGGAAAGCTCATTAGCCCACATATCAATTTTCAAGAATTAAAGATGGCGGTCTGGACTTCAACGTGCACCT